TATGACACGCCAATTCGTATTTCCATTTTTGGCGTGCTATCAACACACAAAATCGCTTTTCAGCGTGTTTATGAACGCCGTTGACTTAACGTTACATTACTGTATATATAAATATATGACCTACCCCAACCCCGTCCCTAAACCTACCCGTCACTGGGGTTAATATCATTTATGAGTCTTCCCCACCATCCTAGGAAAAAAAAATATCGCTCCCCAGATGTAGATCTACATTTTGCTTCGTTTTGCTCGGACATTTAACGGCGTGTACATACACTCATACACTTGGATACACGCGGATAGCTCAAAATGCGTATAGATACCACGCCACTTGACTTGAAAGTTTACGCAAAAGTCATGATGTCATGTTGTGACAGTTGATAGACACAATCCATTCCAACATGGAAAAACAGTGTCAACAAACGTAATGATTGATGATTGACGACTGGATTAGGCAAGCTCTTTCCACACGCCGCAGGACACGAGGGAGCGGACTCTTAGTCAAAGCAGAAAGAGTGAGTGTGTGAGAAGAACAAGAGGTGCAAACTGAGCCGCTCAACAGCTGTAAGAGAATCTGATTCAGTAACTCGACGCCAAACTGCAACTCTACATTTACAATTACTCACTTCCCATGTTTCAAGGCCTTTCCCATCTGTTCCACTTTCAGCCTCAGTCAGAACTTGGAAGGGAAACTCATTTGTCACAAAACTATGACCAAAATGTATTGTTATCAGTAAATAAAGGAGGAACCAACTATATATTTGATAGTAGATACACATGTATTGAGTCTATGTTAGCTCATAAAAACATATGGTAAAATGTTTTTTTTGGCACTCTAAATAGGGAGGGTCTATATATTCAAAGTTGTAATTTGGCACTTGCATTCTATAAAACACTGTGCGGATAAGTAACTGATTATATCTGGATTATTAGATTAGTGCACTTACAAACAGTTACTTTTTATGGATTACATGATTATGGATAAAATATTCATATAATAGAAGGAAATTATTTTTAAAAAATGTAGTGATTATCCCTAATTCTTATTTTTAATCTTTTCAATTTTACATTTTCATGATTTAATCAATAATTAGCTCCTCATCAACTTACAAACGTGCTTGGGAAACCCTGATGTAATGTTGATAATGTTGTTAGAGGTATTTTTAGAGGTATTTTTCAAACTTATTAGAAGAAAATAAACATAATCCTAGGAATATATTTTGAAACTTGCCAATATGGTACAAGATTATCCTATTTAAATCAGTGTGATAAACGAGTTAGTTTAAAAGTAATCAAAAAGTACTCAGATTATACCTAGAATATGTAATAGATTACAATGCTAACTAAAGTTCTCTTCATTTGCAATCAGTGCTAGACATTTCAGATTAATTTCTTCAGGCCAAGCCTCATAAAATAAGGGACTTTTGATGCCATTTTCAAAAGAAACTCTGACAGACAAGACAAAAGGCTGTATGTGGAAATGTGTTGCATAAAACTGCAGCATCTAATGGTCAAAAGTGTTTCAATCAACTTGCGACTTGCCATTGTATACATAATTATATGGATAATTCAAATTATTAGTTTTAAAACTTAACATTTAACACAGCTAGGTTTTGGTCACAGTAGTTCGAGATACTAGTCAGGCAGGCGTGTATTGTTCAGGGTTGTTTGTGTCTGTCTGTGTGAACCTTCACTGTATCTCCTTGCTTATAAAGTGAGGAAAGGAACATTCTGATATCCCTTCAGGCTTAGAGATGAAGGCCATGTCTGTTATGTTACACTGTTTCTATAGAGACTCATTAAGTGTTTGAGCTTTGAGTAAGCGTGCACAGACAGCACCTGACCTGTTACTCCCTGTGTGGGAAAAAGGGAGTTTTTTCTGTGCAAACTCTTACTTCCTCTCTGAATGTAATAATTCTCAAAATGAGAAAACCCTGGAATTCACAAACCTCAGTGTGGGAAATTTCACTTGCACATTTCATTTTTCATATCAGGCCAGTTCACCTAGCTCACCCTAAAATGAAAATATTGTCATTGTTTAGACGTCCTTGTGTAATTTCAAACCCATGTGACTTTTGTTCATTTTCATACAGAGAAGTAAACAGTGGAACAGAGGCTCAACATGAATGTTTGACGTGAGAACAAAGCTCATTGGTTCCTGCGTGTCATGTCTGATCAAACATGTTTACTATATATATATATATATATATATATATATATATGTGTGTGTGAATAAAATAATTTATATGTCAATAAAAGCATAAATTAAATGTGTTCATCATATATGTGTTCATCATGTGTCAATCAGAGCAGAGTAGACCAATCACAACAGACTGGGTCATCTGACCACTCAGAGCAAAGTAGACCAATCACAACAGACTGGGCCGTCTGACCACTCAGAGCAAAGTAGACCAATCACTACAGACTGGATCATCTGACCAATCAGAGCAGAGTAAACCAATCACAACAGACTGGACCATATGACCAATCAGAGCAGAGTAGACCAATCACAACAACCTGGGTCATCTGACCTTTCAGAGCAGAGTAGACCAATCACAACAGACTGGGTCATCTGGCCAATCAGAGCAGAGTAGATCAATCAGAACAGACTGGGTCATCTGACCAATCAGAGCAGAGTAGACCAATCACTACAGACTGGGTCACCTGACCAATCAGAGCAGAGTAGACCAATCACAACAGACTGGGTCATCTGACCAATCAGAGCAGAGTAGATCAATCCCAACAGACTGAGTCATCTGACCAATCAGAGCAGAGTAGACCAATCACAACAGACTGGGTCATCTGACCAATCAGAGCAGAGTAGACCAATCACAACAGACTGGGTCATCTGACCAATAAGAGCAGAGTAGATCAATCACTACAGACTGGGTCACCTGACCAATCAGAGCAGAGTAGACCAATCACAACAGACTGAGTCATCTGACCAATCAGAGCAGAGTAGACCAATCACAACAGACTGGGTCATCTGACCAATCAGAGCAGAGTAGACCAATCACAACAGACTGAGTCATCTGACCAAAAAGAGCAGAGTAGACCAATCACAACAGACTGGGTCATCAGACCAATCAGATCAGAGTAGACCAATCACAACAGACTGGGTCATCTGACCAATCAGATCAGAGTAGACCAATCATCTGACCAATAAGATCAGAGTACACCAATCACTACAGACTGGACCATCTGACCAATCAGAGCAGAGTAGACCAATCACAACAGACTGGGTTATCTGACCAATAAGAGCAGAGTAGATCAATCACTACAGACTGGGTCACCTGACCAATCAGAGCAGAGTAGACCAATCACAACAGACTGGGTCATCTGACCAATAAGCTCACGGAAAGGAGGGTTTAAAGAGACTATCGAACTGTTTTCAGACTCTCTGAGAGATAAGGTGAGACTGCAAGCAGTGATTTCACCAAAAGCAACATGTTCCTGGAGCAACATTCCTATCACCCAATCAGATTTGAGGGACAAGTTTAAAGTTTATGTCAAGGTCAGGCTTACAACCAGAGTTAGGTGCTTCAACACCAGTGTTATTCACCCCCCCCATTTCCCTATCCCTTTGTAAGAAAGAGATGACATGTTGGGTAAAGAGTAAATAAACACCCAATTTTCTTCAGTTATTCCATATTGGAGATAACCAAGATAAGTAAGACCATGTGATATGTTGGCGCCTGTCACCTAAAACACAACCTGTAGTGTTGTGCTGTTAATTCACATAACAGAGCATGATTCAAATAATACACATAATGAGATATATAGGGTATATGTACATGGTGGGAGAGAAAGAGTGTGATGGGAATCACACACATTTGTAGAACCTGGCCTGGGTTTGCCATGAACTTGCCATGAAAAGGCCAAAGAAAACTCCGCTAATCCCACCAAGGAAGAGGGCCGTGAGGATCAGGGCAGGTCGGGAGGTTATTCTGAACACATTCATCAAGCATTAGCGTGGGGATTATGACCCGGCACGCTTCGCTGCACTCCTCGCCCATCGGGGTCTCGTCTCTGGTTAGCCAGGGCAGTTGGAAAACCTGCTAGTCGTGGATAATCACAGATAGACTGATTGTTGGCCTCACAGGGTCTGAAGAAACACCTGCCAAAACACTCAACAGGTGAGCGATCTGCTGCCGTGTGATCAGTCCTGTCCTTCTGGTGCAAAAGATCATATCTTTATAGACAGAGTGACTTTTGAACCGCACCAGGTCACTGAGACATCTGTTGTGGTATCTAAATATACAGGGAATAAAAGTATAGTCCCATCAGCTGTCATGACAGACTCTCACATGTCGAATCATACAAACCATGAAACCCATCTACAGCATGAGTCTGAGATCAAGTCCAGAAACTAAACAAACCTGGAGCCCTCAACTAGCAAAGCCTTGCAGGACCAGTGTGACCACACACTTACTGCAATAAAACACGACAGAAAAACAGCATTCCCTCATGTTATGTGCACGTGAAAACCTATACAACAGGTTCAGCAGTGACATGAAGTATGGAATGTGTTTGCAGAGAGAGACATCTGTAGTGTATATACTGTCTGTAAATGTTCATTTTTCAATGCAGTCTATGGGGTATAACATACGTTTTCTTGAGTTAAGCTATAAATAATTTAATTAACAAGCATAAACGATAATTAAAGACAAACTTTTTCTTTGATAATCAAAAAAGCCAACTATTTTGGTAAGGAGTAGTGACAGATTTACGCGTTCCCAGAGAAAGCTTTGGTTCTGGACAAACGTTCATCAACATTATTAGAACGATGTTCATAGTTATCTGGACTTTTAAAATGCTTTCAAAACTTTCATAGAGCGTTTTTCTTCACAACATTGAGAGAACAACGTTATGGGAACGTTAGCGAAACATTTTTTTGTTATCAGTGAATACCCTCTAATTATTAAATAGAATACATATATTTTGACAATCTAGATAGACAATATTAATCTATTGTCTTTATTTGATGATGTATTAGTACTCACCCTGATGTTTCCTCTGCTCCGACACTTTGCATTGAATCTGTAGATATATCCAGTCAGAACAGAACTTCACACCTTCAGGCGTTCATCAGATCGATACAACTGACTAACACTCACTTACACACTCACATGTTTCGTATAGTTTAACACAAAACATGAAAAAGTATCAAATTAAAGCGCTTCGCATCAGGTTTGAGGGAGAATGTTAGCGGTCTCCTATTCCTCGTTTGTACTGTTGTGACACGCCAGGAGCGCCACACACACATACACAAACACACACACTCCTCCTCTCTTCAGTCGGATGGGAGAGGTCTGGTTTGCCGATGACAGGTCACGCGCATGTGTCCCACTAACCCTCCACGAGCAGACATGGATCATTAATGCTCCCCTTTAAAGTTTTACTGCATCCATGAAACATAAATGTGTTTCAGAACATTTTACTATAGTTTCACAGTAACATTATTTCTCATTAAATGTGTACATGTAGGCTATGTCAATCCTTATAATGGGCAGTATCTGTTTATATAATTATAAACAGATACTGAGTCTGGGAACCGAGTATATTGTGCTACTGTCACCATGTAATGAGCTAGTGTGCGGTATTAGTACGCCCCCTTGCGACGCTACTTTACCAACCAGTTAAAATACATGTTTACAAATTAGTTAACAAACATTATTGTTTAAAGAGGTAAAGAAGTCTTATTTGCTTAGCTTTTCTAAACTCAGTTAGTGAAACATAAAAAATAATAATAATAATTTAAAAAAATAAAATGTCCTTTTTATACTACAAATCCATGAATATACTGACACTGAGTCTTACTGAAATAAATATTATAATGAAACTGTATGTGCAGTAGGCTACTTTATTGCACAAAGCACACAATGCACATTTATTAATATTAAGCTTAAAATGTGTTTTAATATCACTATTAGTAGTTTGATGTATGTGTATAATATTAGTCTTAAAATAAATACAAGATATTTAAAGTGTGCCTAAATACTTGCATTTCCACTTCAGCACAATCAACTTCAGTATATCTTTAGTTGGACCTCTGCACTATTTTTGGAAGTATATAAGGCACAAAATTAGTTACAATTTAGCAGACTTTAGCTTATTATACAAACAGTACAGTTGCAGGGTATTTACAGTACATTAATATGCACATTTATTTGTAGTATACTTAGCATACAATACATGCATTTCAAATACATAATATATTTATTTTTCACTGTAAAAATGAAATTAATAATTTAAAAAAGTATAATAAAACATTAACAAAAAAATGAACTATTTACCTGCAAGCCGTAAGAATTAATTATTGCACTGATCCTATATAATATATTACCAGACCATTGGGTGAGTTTTTATCTTAAAAATCTGACTTTCCATAGAGTGTGTGAATCTGTGGAGATGAACTGGCCTGCAGGTGGCGCTATCACAACTCATGTCGGGAAGTAGAAAAGCCTCAGTGTTCCACACGCACGTGTCAGTCGTGTTTACTTCTGAGGAGCCGAAGCAGTGCTGTAATGCCTCTGAAGAGAGCTGTGATCGTACCGGGAAACGGAGCAGGGAATGTCGAGCACTGCAACTGGTATGGATGGGCAAACAAACGAATAAACGAGGTATGATGACGTCAACAAGAGATTAAACTCACTTCAGCTGTTATGATGACAGACAGGTTTCATTTCAGCCCGAATATTAAATGCTGCACCATTATTACAGATTCCAGATGTGTCATGCGCGCTGAGAAACATGCCGGATCCTGGTAGTTCACATTCACATCGCATGACTATTAACGTTACCACTTCATATGAGACGTTTCCGGAAGTATAATAAAATACGCTGTGTAACCCGACAGTGACTGCGAGAGAGAGCATCTGGCTGCCGTTCATGGAGAAGGACCTGAGATGTGATGAAGAAACAGTCATCATCGGACACAGTTCAGGAGCCGCGGCAGCCATGAGGTACTCGACTCAGCGATTCATATAATTCATTCGATTCGTGTTCTAAATGATCCGATTCATCGATGAGCACAATGTTTGTTTATCATCAGAAAATTAGCTCTGTGCTTACTTATTTAATTAATCTGTCAATGTATTTATTTACATTTATTTTGTTTCCACCCCTAAGGTTTCAGTCTTGTTCACTGTTGATACCACTGAATAATCTCATTGATGATGTTTGATTCATCATTTTACCTGAATGATCAATTCCTTAATGAGTTGGAGAGTAAAACATTCATATTTGATCAGTGTGTGAGCGTTTCTATCACTATCACTCAGTGTTGTAGTCGAGAGCACCTCACTCGAGTCCGAGTCGAGACCGAAACCAGAGAGAGTCGAGTCCGAGTCAAGACCGAGTCCATAGAGAGTCGAGTCCGAGTCCAGAGACGGTCGAGTCCGAGACCAGTGAGGGTTGATTACCTAATTTACTTTTATTTACTTAGAGAAATCCTTTTTTTTTTTTTATTTTTTTACTGAATTTACTTTAAAAAATATGTTTAAATGTAGTTTAAAAAATATGATCAGTTTAGGGTAAAAAGGCCACATAGTAGGTGGTGTTAAAAGTAATTTTATTACAATTTGTCATGCTCAGTTGCGGACTAGAAAATCACCAATCACTGGGCGTGTCAATCAATTTAAAGAAATATTTTATTAACATACATTAATAATCATGAAAAATATTTTGAATTGAACTCGAGTGGACTCGGGAATAAGTCCGAGTCCTAAAAAAAAAATGTTCGAGTACGAGTCAATTCCGAGTCCAAATGGACACGAGTCCATGACAAGACCAAGACCATTAAAATATGGTCTCGAGACCGAGTCTCGAGTACTACAACACCACTCTTTAAACAACACAATTGCTTGTTTCTGGTGTGCTTCGACAGGTATGCAGAAACACACCAAGTGTTTGCCATTATTCTGGTCGGCACGTACACATCAGATCTGGGGGATGAGAATGAACGTGAGAGCGGTGAGTTTGAATAAAAGCCCCTCATCGTGACATCATTGGTCATCAGTGTGAGTGTGTGTGTGACGATGTGCCTTCTCTTATGACGCTCAGGATATTTCAGTCGGCCATGGGAATGGGAAAAGATAAGAACAAACGTGAAGTACATAGTTCAGTTTGGATCCACAGACGACCCGTTTCTGCCCTGGGAAGAGCAACAGGAAGTGGCTGATGGACTGAAGACAGATTTATACAAGTATACAGATCGTGGACACTTCCAGAACACAGCCTTCCCGGAGCTCATCGACGCAATAAGAAAGCTCAAAACCAACAGCTAAACACACACCGAGAAATAACCCCTCAAATACTCTATTGATGTGCTGGAAATCGGTGCTTTAGTTCTCTGGGGCCAAAAATTTTTACTTTACAACAAGTGAAGACAGTTTATTATTGTGGATGAATTGGGAACAGGCCATTTTGACTTTCATGTAAATCAAGTTTTAGAAATCCAAAAATCTGAAATAAAACACCCATGTAAACTAGGACAAAACTTAGTAATCGATGCAAAATCAAAAAGTAATGGCACTTACAGCAGTTCTCGAACACAAACAACATCCAACTCAACAGTTTAATACTGTGAACACATTTATCAATTCTGGTTATTACGATTATACGCACACACATATACAGGTAAAGTCCTATATTTGGACAGAAAAGACTGGAGTTCTGGTTCAAATCAGTTATAGCACCATTTAAGTCAACATAAATATCTAATCTGATTAAAGTACACACCTTCTCTTATATTGTTGAGGAATAGTATGTCTTAATAGTGGAGTGAAATAAAGCATTCATTTTCACTCAATCCAGTAACACTGACTTTCTGTAAACAACTATATTGTATAAAGCTCACCCAAAATAAAAATAATTTTACTCATCCACGTTTTTAACGTCTTCCTGGGAACATATAGTTCACACTGTTCTTTATAACAGCAATTTTATTCTTCCTGTCAACTGTACAACTTCAGAAGACTTTGAATGGACTTTTACAGTGATTTTATTTATAGCTCAAAATGTAAAATTGCTCCACAGAGTGGGATGGGTGAGTAACCAAAAATAAATAAAAAAAAAACAGCACCAAAAAGAGTTATCTGATAAAACTGCCGTCATGAGAATCATAGATTGATTATTCTAGAAACCTGAGATTGGAAGTAAAGTGCATCATGTAAACCAGCCTGTTATTTTCAGAAGCATACAGCTATATGGTTTCAGAAAAGCAGTTCTCTATAACCTCACACATCCATCAGAAACATTTCGTCAAGCAGCGAGTGTGACGCTCCCAGTGTCCGGCGTCTCATGCTTTAGGATCTATAGAGATCTTCTTCTTCCGTCTGGCTTTGGAGTATCCTCTCCCGAACCATCCGCCCTGAAGCGCGGGGCCCTGGCCTTGAGCCTGCGCGTCACAAGAGTCCTCCTCCACAGCAGCAGGGGGCGCTATCTCCTCTCGAGTGTGACTGTCCTGCTCCTGTGGACCCAGTGCTTTAGCCAAGCTGAAGATGGGGTCTTGCGATCTGTTATTCATCGAAATAATGCCAAAAGTATTAAAGGCAATCAGGCTTGAGGTCATGTTATATGATGAATATATGTGCTCAACAATGGTATTTAACCATCTAGTCCAGTTCACTCACATTTGACTGAAAAACAAAAACAAAAAAGCATTTGGAGAATAGGCCTATGCCACGAAAAAAGAAGACTGGAAGTACGTCTTTTAGTAGTGATACGGCTCTTCCGGTTAGCTTTTTACAATGGTGGAGTCTGATAGATACCGCTGGACCAAATCTCTCCGCAGCCGATAAACTGCAATACATCTCAAATTTAGATCATGTTTATATATAAAACGTATGACAAATAAGGGCGGTTAACTTTGATTGACAGCTGATAACGGGCTGCGCCGAGTGAATTTGATGTCTCGGCCATGATCTGACGCAACACATCATACCACCTCTGTATCCTTTCTGAAACTTTTGTATTTGCCAAGATTTTCCAGTATGGCGCCGTCCATAAACAGCTTCAAACCCGTTCTTCAGAGAGTCTATGGGTCTATGGTCCTGACGCAGAGCAACCACAACAGCAGCCGTGGGTAACTCTAGCCGTTCGCCAGTAAGGTAAACATTTCTATGGTAACAGTGAGTTGGACCAATCAGCAGATGTTGCTAATACGGGGAGATGGTATCCTGAGGTTTGCTAATGTTTGCCTGCTAATGTGTCAGCATGCTAACAGTGTTTAACAGTTAGTGGGTCGCACCTGTCGTAAACGGGAACTTCCAAACCCAGCTCCTCCATGAGGAGACTCATCACTGCGTCACACTTCCCATGGATCTTCAGAGTGGCCAGGTTGTCTTTCGGCGTCCACTAACATAAACGAGGAGAAGCTGTTAAATCATGTCAGCTGAGAGGGTGAGCAGTTTCTGGAGGAAGATGTACCTGAAGATTCACGATGTACAGCTTTGGTCTTTTGTTGGCGGGTCTGTTCATGCACCACAAGCAGGAGTACTTCTTCAGCACCTGATGGACACACACACAGCAGCTGATCCATCAAATCAAGCAGCGCCATTTAATATAACACAAATGCACTTCGACTAATGTTGCGACTACATGATAGATGTTCCTGTTACAGTGGATATAAAACATCTATTATGATCTAAAACTGAAACAAAGATAATGATCACAGCACTCAGTGTGTTTCAGCCCATCTCGACTCCTCTTTGCTCAAAGCCTCCAGATCTGTGTGAATGTCGTATTATGAACCTTGAATGGGGTGGTGATGGCGCAGTGGTTAAGACACATGCCTTTGGTGTGAGAGACCTGGGTTCGAATCCACTGTGAGACACTAATATGTCCGTGAGCAAGACCCTTAAAGGGTTAGTTCACCCAAAATGAAAATTGTGTCAGTATTTACTCACCCTCATGTTGTTCCAAACCTCTATATGTGTTTATTTGTTCTGCTGAACACAAAGGAAGATATTTGGAAGAATGTTTTAATCAAACAGATCTCATTCCCCATTGACTACCATAGTATGTATTTTTTCCTACTATATGGAAGTCAATGGGGAATGAGATCTGTTTGATTAAAACATTCTTCCAAATATCTTCCTTTGTGTTCAGCAGAACAAATAAACACATATAGAGGTTTTGAACAACATGAGGGTGAGTAAATACTGACACAATTTTCATTTTTGGGTGAACTAACCCTTTAACTCCTAGTTGCTCCAAAGGCGTGCGACCTCTGACACATATAGCAATTGTAAGTCGCTTTGGATAAAAGCGTCAGCTAAACGAATAAATGTAATGTAAATGTTAACAAATGTTCTAAAATGATTTATCTCGGTTTCACTTTTTTCATCACAAAACAGATGTATCAAGCAATGCCTCCACACAATGTCATGTTTTATCCATGTGAGCAACCAGAAGCGCCGCGACACAAGGCGTCTTTTCCATGTTCATCAGAGTTTCTATCCTAACCTGACACGCCGATGCTATTTTAGAAACGGTTTCTATTTTTTCTGTGACGTCGCACTGGAACAACAAACACAAAGTGGATAATCTCAGGCACTGTTTATGTGCTTTATTTAATATTAAAAGCATCTGTGCGAGTTTGAATATCATTTTGTGTGTCTTTTATAGCCGCATGCAACAACGGACAATACCTCATATCTTCAAAATAAATAAAAGTAAACGAGAACGTCCAAACTATCAACTCATTGTTAACAGACAAGAGAAAGAATTTTTTAAGTAGCTCAGTATGTATTTTTAATAATGTTAAAATGGTGTAATATTCATAAATTTGATTGTGTTCCTCCGTTATGTTTGCGAGTGCCCAGTAGCACCTTTTCCAAACGGTGTACACGGTCAATGCAGTACACGAGATCCAGGGGCGGAGTCGGATGCAGATCTGAGGGGTGGAGTTGGGTAGAATTAGGTGTGGAGTTAGGGATCAGGGGGTGGAGCTGGGTAGGTTTAGGGGTGGGTTTAGGGATCAGGGAGTGGAGTTGGGTAGATTTAGGGGTGGGTTTAGGGATCAGGGGGTGGAGTTGGGTAGGTTTAGAGGTGGGTTTAGGAATCAGGGGGTGGAGCTGGGTAGGTTTAGGGGTGGGGTTAGGGATCAGGGAGTGGAGTTGGTAGATTTAGAGGTGGGTTTAGGAATCAGGGGGTGGAGCTGGGTAGGTTTAGGGGTGGGGTTAGGGATCAGGGAGTGGAGTTGGGTAGATTTAGGGGTGGGTTTAGGGATCAGGGGGTGGAGTTGGGTAGGTTTAGGGGTGGGTTTAGGGATCAGGGGGTGGAGCTGGGTAGGTTTAGGGATCAGGGGGTGGAGCTGGGTAGGTTTAGGGGTGGAGTTAGGGAACAGGGAGTGGAGTTGGGTAGATTTAGGGGTGGGTTTAGGGATCAGGGGGTGGAGTTGGGTAGGTTTAGGGGTGGGTTTAGGGATCAGGGGGTGGAGCTGGGTAGGTTTAGGGATCAGGGGGTGTAGTTGGCTAGGTTTAGGGATCAGGGGGTGGAGCTGGGTAGGTTTAGGGGTGGGGTTAGGGATCAGGGAGTGGAGTTGGGTAGATTTAGAGGTGGGTTTAGGGAACGGGGTGGAGCTGGGTAGGTTTAGGGATCAGGGAGTGGAGTTGGGTTAGGCATCAGGGGGTGGAATTGGGTAGGTTTAGGGAACAGGGGGTGGAGCTGGGTAGGTTTAGGGATCAAGGGGTGGAGCTGGGTAGGTTTAGGGGTGGGTTTAGGGATCAGGGGTGGAGCTGGGTAGGCTTAGGGATCAAGGGGTGGAGCTGGGTAGGTTTAGGGGTGGGTTTAGGGATCAGGGGGTGGAGCTGGGTAGGTTTAAGGGTGGGTTTAGGGATCAGGGGGTGGAGCTGGGTAGGCTTAGGGGTGGGTTTAGGGATCAGGGGGTGGAGCTGGGTAGATTTAGGAGTGGGTTTAGGGATCAGGGGGTGGAGTTGGGTAGGTTTAGGGGTGGGTTTAGGGATCAGGGGGTGGAGCTGGGTAGGTTTAAGGGTGGGTTTAGGGATCAGGGGGTGGAGCTGGGTAGGATTAAGGGTGGGTTTAGGGATCAGGGGGTGGAGCTGGGTAGGCTTAGGGGTGGGTTTAGGGATCAGAGGGTGGAGCTGGGTAGGTTTAGGGGTGGGTTTAGGGATCAAGGGGTGGAGCTGGGTAGGATTAGGGGTGGGTTTAGGGATCAGGGGGTGGAGCTGGGTAGGCTTAGGGGTGGGTTTAGGGATCAGGGGGTGGAGCTGGGTAGGTTTAGGGGTGGGTTTAGGGATCAGGGGGTGGAGCTGGGTAGGATTAGGGGTGGGTTTAGGGATCAGGGGGTGGAGCTGGGTAGGTTTAGGGTGGGTTTAGGGATCAGGGGGTGGAGCTGGGTAGGTTTAGGGATCAGGGGGTGTAGTTGGCTAGGTTTAGGGATCAGGGGGTGGAGCTGGGTAGGTTTAGGGGTGGGGTTAGGGATCAGGGAGTGGAGTTGGGTAGATTTAGGGGTGGGTTTAGGGAACAGGAGGTGGAGCTGGGTAGGTTTAGGGATCAGGGAGTGGAGTTGGGTTAGGCATCAGGGGGTGGAATTGGGTAGGTTTAGGGAACAGGGGGTGGAGCTGGGTAGGTTTAAGGATCAAGGGGTGGAGCTGGGTAGGTTTAGGGATCAGGGGGTGGAGCTGGGTAGGTTTAAGGGTGGGTTTAGGGATCAGGGGGTGGAGCTGGGTAGGTTTAAGGGTGGGTTTAGGGATCAGGGGGTGGAGCTGGGTAGGCTTAGGGGTGGGTTTAGGGATCAGGGGGTGGAGCTGGGTAGATTTAGGGGTGGGTTTAGGGATCAGGGGGTGGAGTTGGGTAGGTTTAGGGGTGGGTTTAGGGATCAGGGGGTGGAGCTGGGTAGGTTTAAGGGTGGGTTTGGGGATCAGGGGGTGGAGCTGGGTAGGCTTAGGGGTGGGTTTAGGGATCAGGGGGTGGAGCTGGGTAGGATTAAGGGTGGGTTTAGGGATCAGGGGGTGGAGCTGGGTAGGCTTAGGGGTGGGTTTAAGGATCAGGGGGTGGAGCTGGGTAGGTTTAGGGGTGGGTTTAGGGATCAGGGGGTGGAGCTGGGTAGGCTTAGGGGTGGGTTTAGGGATCAGGGGGTGGAGCTGGGTAGGATTAGGGGTGGGTTTAGGGATCAGGGGGTGAAGCTGGGTAGGTTTAGGGGTGGGTTTAGGGATCAGGGGGTGGAGCTGGGTAGGTTTAGGTATATGTATGATGGGAGGAGTTGCATCTGGATCCGACTCCTCCCTGTGGATTTCATGTTCTGCAGTGAGGACCATCTCGGAGTGCCAGGAGCCTGCAGAAAGAGTCCACACACACTCACTCACGCGCTTCTGATTGGCTGTGTTTTTAATCGACTCTATCGCGTCGACAAATGATTGGATTGGCATGGCGTGAGGTTAGGCTTGGTGTGAGACTCAGCACGCGCACCTTGAGACTGGAACCGAGGCAGAGGATGAGGTCGGCCCGCTGCGCCGCCTGAGCCGCCCCGCTCCAGTTCAGCGGCTGCTCCAGGGTCCCGCGCTCCCCGAAGTGCACGATGGTGTCCCTCAGCTCCCCCCCGCAGTGAGGACACCGGCGGCCCGTGCCATGCCTGTGCAGAGCCGTGCGCTCCGTCACGTCAAACACGCGGATCAGTTCCCGCGCTGGGCGGCAGGAGGAGCACACCTGTGGGACACGGGAAGACCACGGGGGAAACATGGGAATAAGTCTGATATTACAGAAACGGATCACATTTTACAACTCGAAAACAGGAAAACTCAGATTTTGAGATCTTTATGCTACCCTTTAAAACGAGTGAATCCAGAGAAATGTGACCCTGGACCACAAAACCAGTCACAAGGGTCATTTTCTTTTTATTGAGATGTATACATCATCTGGAAGCTGAATAAATAAGCTTTCCATAGATGTTTGGTTTGTTAGATAGGACGATATTTGGCCAAGATCTGACTAGTGGAATCTGAGGCGGGTGCAAAAAAATCTAAATATTGAGAAAATCTCCTGTAAATTTGTGCATCTTTGTTCTCGATTGTACAGCATTCACTCACAAAAATAAGGTTTTATATACAGTATTTTACAGTAGGAAATTTAGAAAATATTTTCATGGAACATGATCTTTGGCATAAAAGTCAAACGTATAATTTTGACCCATACAATATATCGTTGGCTATTGCCACAGATAGACCCGTGCACCTCGTGACTGGTGTCCTGATCCAGGGTCACATGTGAACTGAATTTAAGGCTGACCTCGATGAACATGTTCCCGTGGAGTTCAGAGAGAGCGTGTCTGGGCAAGCCACTGCGCAGGTGAAGACCGTCACAGTTCTGCGAGACCACGTGCTGAACCTGTACACACACACACACACTTTTTAAAATACACACGTTTCCAAGCAGCTTCAAAAGGAAATCATGTGTATAATATCTTCATGTCACATTTCGAGCTGGGCAATAATTTGAGTTAAGTAGTTGAGATTTGCTATAGTTATATAAGCCAACACGAGTCAGCATTCGTATATAACAAACTTTCTGTACAGATCTGTGCGATAATACAGTTTTTATTTTCTGTGTACGTGAGTGTGTGAAGTACGATGTACTACAAATCCACTTTTTAATATAATGCTGGTGATGATGCGTTTTAAGCCAAGCTTTGCTATTGTCCTGCTTAATATGAGTGTATTCTGCTAATGTAGTCACGCACCATCTTCTCTTTATGTAGCAGCCAGAGGCACATGTGTGTGAGCGTGGGCTCAGCTCGACTCAGGTCTGATGTGCTGCGGACACACACACACACACACACAGATGAGGTTAACATGTGGCAGCAGGAGGAGTCAATGCTAGCGTAGTTAGACCTGTGATCTGCACCTGACAGAGCGGCCCCGCTGCAGCTGAGTCCACACGCCGTTCGGCCCGCGGTAGTCCGGGATCGAGGCGGCCTGAGGAACACACAGCACACTCACACTTACAATGAACCAGGAAACAACACACTGATGGATGATAACATCGATACATCTCTATCCTATACGACGCATGCGGAGCCGAGGAGTGCTCGTGAGCAGGTGTTTGGGGGAATCAGCCCAAAATCAGACAAAACCGTGTGTGTGTGTCAACACTTTCACCCGATGGAATCAAAACGTCAATTTCACCGTTTCCCATACATGAAATGTCAAAACCATGTTTCCGCATAAATGGTATCCTAAAGTCCTCATAATAAATTGACCATTTCAAGGAATGCGTCTTACTCTAGGTTCTTTTAAATGCAGTGTGTGTGTAGTTTTACACCCAATGAAACCACAGGAGTGTGAGCAGTGATCATCATGTCATCATTCTGCTCCTTGAGTTCACACAAGAGCTCATGTACGCTAGGATACATGGATCCTCTTCCTCCATCTTTACACGTGGGACAGGCCGTACAGAAGGACAGTTTCACGTACCGTGCTGATCCCTGCCCCGGTGTACACCACCACATACTGCGCCTGCTGGAGCGCCTCCGCCAGCTGCTTCACCTTGCTCTGCAGGCTCTCCGCCTCGTCAAACACCTGCACACACACACTCATGATGTGACAGATGCTAATCAGGCTGAACATGCTGTATAGTATGTGTGTGAGCTGTACCTCCTCTAGTTTGCTCTGTAGGAGGCGTCTCCGGCTCTGTCTGCGTTTTAGCTCCTGAACTGTGTCCTGGTGATCCTGTAGAAGCCTTCGCTCCTCCTGCGTCTGCTCTCCAGCACTCTTCTGCAGGATCTGAGAGATCTAAACACACACACAGCTCTTATCTGATGCTTTACATGGATTCAGCTGTTCTGTTGACACTGACTCAAAGCCCAGTGATCAGTTTCACAAACAGGGGTTTGCTTTCTCGCAACTGGTCAGTGCTTTAACTGTTACACGGCAACGTCATGAAAAACACGACATCTCCTGGAAACACTGCGAGAAGATTTCAAAATCCTGCTTTCATTTGGACCCTTTCGTGCCACCAAATCATCAGTTTGGTCGAAACTACGATGTTTGAAGGGGTTTGACTGAGTTTATTAGCTAGTTTTACAGGTGTTCTGCTGAATAAAGTTACGCATCACATTGTGCTATCAAATATATTTGCATTGTTTTAAAGGTAGGGGAAGGTGTGGACGTTAATAAAGCCTCAAACCACATCACATGAATATAATGCTGGCAGCCTTAGCATTTTCACCGGCTGTACCGCTTTATTTGTGTTTCGAGTCGTTAACGTCTGTGGTCATGTGAATTAGATGAAGAAGATGATATCTGGTGGTCATACCGTCTTGACAGTGTGTCTCTGCTTCTCTCGCTGGATGATCTTCTGCTTTTCTCGCTCTTTTCTCTCCGCTCGCGCTGAGCCAAAGCTATTTGTTTGCGCGTCCATGTTGGACATCGTCACCGATGACGTCGTACTTCTTCTTCTTCTTTTCGTTTCATGACCGTTCACTCCTTTGGATTATTTACCGCCACCTACTGTATACCTTACGCACATGATTTTATCGCGAGGTAAAAAAAGTTTTTTTTCTACCGTGTCGGAGAAAAAAGTTTATTTAATCGTTTTAATTCATATGTTGTAATTACTTTATTTATTTATTTATTTAATTAATGCATTTATTTATTTCCCGCCCTGGCCAAACTAGCTTTTTAGCTGGTTTAGCTGGGTGGCTCTCAGCTTAGACGAAAAAGATATCTAAAAGTAAAAAAAAAAAAAAAAAATTATATATAAACAGACAACAATATTTGAAATATTTGATGTACGTTGGCTCATGCACTGTTACCAACAGGTGGCGGTAAAGTACCAATCCGCCACTGCGATCCACTGCTAACAAAGAGAAGAGGAAGAAGAGCTAACGGGTTTCCGGTCCGTCCATGCTGATTCGAAAAACGCAAAAATTCAGCTTCTCTGATTCTGAATTTATTTTATTAATTTCATCATGTCCATTAAATTGAACGCTCTCTACAGCGACTCATATGTGGATATAAGCCAGTACAGAGACCAGCATTTTAAGGTGAGTGCATGCTTTTTTTTTTTTTGAGGATTAACGTTACTCTTTCCTTTTGATGGGACGCATAAAACACTGTGCAGAATCTCAGTGCAAATGAAGCAGTGCAGCTGGATTTAGTGTACTTGTTTCTCTAATTCAGTATTTATATTTTTATTCAAATATATTAAATATTTGATTATGCAATCAAATATACGGTTCCCTGTTAAAACATTATTATTGTTATTATTATAACTAACGTTACTCGTGACTTATATTCTTCTCACCAAAGCTTTTTTTAATATAAAAAATAGTCAAAAACTGTAATATTGTGAAATATTGTTACAATTTACGTGAACTGTGTTTTCTATGTGAATATATAGTAAAGTGTAATGCATTCTGTGATCAAAGCTGGATTTTCAGCATCATTACTCCAGTCTTTTCTGATTATATCAGTGTTGAAAAAAGTTGTGCGGCATAATCATTTTGTAAATTGCAATAGTGTCTCTTTCTGGGATTTTTTTTTAATATAAACATTTATAAGAAACATAAATATTTTGTAGAATCAAGTATTTACTGTCATTTTTGGTCAATTTAGAGTGTCCTCGCTGTTTAACAGTATTGATGTCCTCACTGAAAGGCATTATGCTAGGCATTACATAATCCCGTTGGAAAGGTCACGCTGGGTGTAGGCTGAAGTATCCACGCCATTGTTTGGAGAAAAACCCTGAAATGGCTTCCTCAAAAAACTTAATGTCTTTTCCACTGATGAAAGACTTATCTTTCATCAGTGGATATAATAAATTATCAGGAAATGTTCATTTTGAGGTGAACTAATCCTTTGACGTCTCTCTCACTGCAGGGTAACAGGTACGAGCAGGAGAAGCTGCTGAAGCAGAGCTCGACGCTGTACGTGGGAAACCTGTCCTTCTACACTACAGAGGAGCAGGTGTATGAGCTCTTCGCCAAGAGTGGAGACGTCAAGAGGATCGTCATCGGCCTCGACAAGGTCAAGAAGACCGCCTGTGGCTTCTGTTTTGTCGAGTATCCTTTCCATTCATAACCATAATGTCACCGTAACATGTGAGCCTTAAAGGGATAGTTCACACAAAACGAATGATTTACTCCCCCTGAAGCCATCCAAGACTTTCTTCTTTCAGACGAATACAATCAGAGTTATATTAATGTTCTGGCTCTTCCAAGCGTTGTAAGGCAGTGAATGGGCAATATTTTTTGGAGTAAATTAAAGTGCATCTATCAGTGATAAAAGTGCATCTATCCGTGATAAAAGGGCATCTATCCGTGATAAAAGTGCGTCTATCCGTGATAAAAGTGCATCTATCTGTGATAAAAGTGCTTCTATCCGTGATAAAAGTGCATCTATCCATGATTAAAGTGCATCTATCCATCATAAAAGTGCATCTATCCGTGATAAAAGTGCATCTATCCATGGTAAAAGTGCATTTATCAGTGATAAAAGTGCATCTATCCGTGATAAGTGCGTCTATCTGTGATTAAAGTGCATCTATCAGTGATAAGTGCATCTATCAGTGATAAAAGTACATCTATCCATGATTAAAGTGCATCTATCCATGATTAAAGTGCATCTATCCGTGATAAAAGTGCATCTATCAGTGATAAAAGTTCATCTATCCGTGATAAAAGTGCATCTATCCGTGATAAAAGTGCATCTATCCGTGATAAAAGTACATCTATCCATGATTAAAGTGCATCTATCCATGATTAAAGTGCATCAATCCATGATTAAAGTGCATCTATCCATGATTAAAGTGCTCCACAGGCTCTGAGTATATACTATACATTCTGAAGCAAAACGATGAGTTTGTGTAAGAAAAATATCCATATTTAAAAATGTATTGACTAAAATAACTAGCTTCCAGCAAAAAATAGTGCCATTTACTGCCATTGTAAAGCTTGGAAGAGCCAGGAGGACATTTTTAATATAACTGATTGTATTCGTCTAAAAGAAGAAAGTCATTACATGTAGGATGACATGAGGGCGAGTAAATCATGAGGAAATTATTTTCCTTTTTGGGTGAACTTAAGATGCACTTGAACTATAACGATGGAAGATGTTTTCAGCTCTGAAAATTGCAGGAGGTTTTGATGGTTCAGAGACCTCTTAAATGCCAAAAGTTCACAGAAAATTCGATGTCTTATGTCATGACCCCTTTTAAATACTTGGGTGCACTTTCTTCAGTGTTGGAGATTAGAGCACAGTATCTAACTGATATCAAAATCTTGATCTGAGTCTGTATCAATGGTGTCAGTCCTTTAACTGCTGATGTGAAGGTATTACACGCGAGCCGACGCGGAGCAGGCCATGAGGTTTGTGAACGGCACGAGGCTGGATGACCGGATCATCCGCACGGACTGGGACGCGGGCTTTAAAGAGGGCCGACAGTACGGCCGGGGCAAGTCCGGCGGCCAGGTAAGGCCATCAGGACATCATTATAATCACAATAACTACCGCATTCACGTTTCAGGAATATTGTTTCCTGTGTGTGTGTGTGAAGGTGCGGGATGAGTACAGGCAGGACTACGACCCCGCCAGAGGGGGTTATGGGAAACTGGTGCAGAAAGCCTGAACGTGAACACGGACTGCCGGGAATGCGATTTCTGGGATGTGCAGTGGCGGACTGAGATGTGTGTGTGATGTACATATTAGAGTTTAGAATGTCCATGCCTGAAATTCATCTAGTCTGGCATTTGTACTTACTTTTTTTTTTTTTTTTAATAAATGCTTTTTTATAAACGTAGCCTTGTGTTTGTGTTTAGATGAACCCAGTGTCATGCAAATTCTCATGATTCCCAGTGAATCTCGTCTGGTCTGGTGACATGATGGTCATCACTGCTGGAACACAAACCAGTGAATGTCCAAATTGTGTTGGTGCCGCAATAAGCACTGATGTTAAAATTCATCATTTTAAACAATAATAACTGCATAACTCAGTCATTAACAGGTAATCGTGCAGCTCCATTACACACTGTGTGTAATGGAGCTACACGATTATCTGTTGAAAAATGAGAATCTCGATTTAAACAGGCGTTTGTATTCTTATTCCTAAATGACATGATTCCTATGGAAGCTCGTTTCCACCACTGAATAAAAAAAAGCAATTTTTATCTCACAATTGCGTGTTATAAAGACAGAATTGCGACACTATAAAGTTTTAAAATCAATTATGAAGTCGGAATTCTGAGAAAAAAAGACAGAAGTGCGATTTTTTTATCTCACAATACTGACTTTTTTCTCTCGTAATTTTGAGATATAAACTCGCAATTGCGAGTTATCTGGCCAATTCTATGGGAAAAAAGACTTTTTTCCCCTCAAAATAATTTATATCTCACACTTCTGATTTTATAGCATGCATTTCTGACTTTGTACATCGCAATTCTGACTATATATCGCAATTCTTACTTTATATATCGCAAATTTGACTTTATATCTAGCAATTCTTACTTTATATATCACAATTCTGACTATATATCACAATTCTTTTTATATCGCAATTTTGACTTATCTTGCATTTCTGATTTAATAACACGCAATTGCGACTTTATATCTAGCAATTCTGACTTTATATCTCGCAATTACAACTTTAAATATCCCAATTCTGACTTTATATCTTGCAATTCTGACTTTAAATATCACAATTCTGACTTTATATCTCACAATTCTGACTTTATATCTCGGAATTCTGACTTTAAATATCACAATTCTGACTTTAAATATCGCAATTCTGACTTTATATCTCGCAATTGTGACTTTAAATGTCGCAATTCTGACTTTATATCTCGCAATTCTGACTTTAAATATCGCAATTCTGACTTTATATCTCGCAATTCTGACATTATATCTCACAATTCTGATTTTAAATATTGCAATTCTGACTTTAAATATCGCAATTCTGACTTTGTATCTCGCAATTCTGACTTTAAATATCGCAATTCTGACTTTATATCTCGCAATTCTGACTTTATATCTCGCAATTCTGACTTTAAATATCGCAATTCTGACTTTAAATAGCGCAATTCTGACTTTATATCTCACAATTCTGATTTTAAATATTGCAATTCTGACTTTAAATATCGCAATTCTGACTTTATATCTCACAATTCTGACTTTAAATATCGCAATTCTGACTTTATATCTCGCAATTCTGACTTTATATCTCGCAATTCTGATTTTAAATATTGCAATTCTGACTTTATATCTCGCAATTCTGACTTTATATCTCGCAATTCTGACTTTAAATATCGCAATTCTGACTTTAAATATCGCAATTCTGACTTTATATCTCACAATTCTGATTTTAAATATTGCAATTCTGACTTTAAATATCGCAATTCTGACTTTATATCTTGCAATTCTGACTTTAAATATCGCAATTCTGACTTTATATCTCACAATTCTGATTTTAAATATTGCAATTCTGACTTTAAATATCGCAATTCTGACTTTGTATCTCGCAATTCTGACTTTAAATATCGCAATTCTGACTTTATATCTCGCAATTCTGACTTTATATCTCGCAATTCTGACTTTAAATAGCGCAATTCTGACTTTATATCTCACAATTCTGATTTTAAATATTGCAATTCTGACTTTAAATATCGCAATTCTGACTTTATATCTCACAATTCTGACTTTAAATATCGCAATTCTGACTTTATATCTCGCAATTCTGACTTTATATCTCGCAATTCTGATTTTAAATATTGCAATTCTGACTTTATATCTCGCAATTCTGACTTTATATCTCGCAATTCTGACTTTAAATATCGCAATTCTGACTTTAAATATCGCAATTCTGACTTTATATCTCACAATTCTGATTTTAAATATTGCAATTCTGACTTTAAATATCGCAATTCTGACTTTATATCTTGCAATTCTGACTTTAAATATCGCAATTCTGACTTTATATCTCACAATTCTGATTTTAAATATTGCAATTCTGACTTTAAATATCGCAATTCTGACTTTAAATATCGCAATTCTGACTTTATATCTCACAATTCTGATTTTAAATATTGCAATTCTGACTTCATATCTTGGAATTCCGACTTTATATCTCGCAATTCTGACTTTATATCTCGCAATTCTGACTTTATATCTCGCAATTCTGACTTTATATCTCGCAATTCTGATTTTAAATATTGCAATTCTGACTTTATATCTCACAATTCTGACTTTATAACATGCAATTGCGACTTTATATCTCGCATTTCTGACTATACCTCGCAATTCTGACTTTATATCTCGCAATTCTGATTTTAAATATTGCAATTCTGACTTTATAACATGCAATTCTGACTTTATATCTCGCATTCCTGACTTTATAACATGCAATTGCGACTTTATATCTCGCAATTCTGAGAAATAAAGTCAGAATTGCAAGATGTAAACTCGCAATTGTGAGAGAAAAAGTCTGAATTGTGAGATAAAAAGACGCAATTACCTTTTTTATTTTTTATTCTGTGGCGGAAACAAGCTTCCATATGATTCATCTGTCTTTTAAACAGAAATGGCTTCATTATTCCTGTCTTACAGTGATTTATATGATCACAGTAATTCTGGAATGAAAGTTTATACCTCAGATATAAACACTGATATCTATGATAGAAATCAAATCAGCTTTTGAAAGTAACTTGATGCTTGAAATAAATATTGCATCAATGCCATCGTCACAGCAGAAGGTGGAGACGAGACGGTTCATCTTTAAATCACTCGAGATCCCTCAGAAACACCGATTCCTCCAGGGATGCACTCGTGAACCTTCTGTCAGAACCGCTAGTCAATTACTAGTTATTTTGTTTGGTTGTCTCTTCAGAATCATAGGGGAATCGTGATCTTTATTTTAAACAAATTTAGCATTAAGTTTCATGGCAAAGCAGCACAATTCTGGATAATACTTAAGCTATTAGCTGTTCTGATGTATATAAAACTATTTAATTACTAAAAAGGAGGCTTCAAACCCATCAATTTTGGTAACAGGGCTGCAAAAACTGAAATATTTACACACAATAACAGACACAGAACTGGTTATTAAACATGTATTTTTAAATAATGATGAAACTAGTAGTCAGAAACTCTGTCTGAGGTTATGATTTGTTGGTAAATTTCAAGTAACTAAAAATTACAGTATCGCTCTTGAATGATGGAATCACTGACAAAAGGATAAAGCTACTATTCAGACATTTTTGTACCAAACTGCATCACAAGGTAGAAAACACTCCTCACACAGAACTGATGACGATGATGTGATGGTCTGGAGACCGGTCTCGGATGATCAGTCTTCACGATTAAGAAAAAGAAGAGTATAAATAAAAGGCAGAAACCTGCAGCTTTCACTGCAGCACACTCTGTGCTCATTTTAAAAATGACCTTTAACTGACTTCAATTAATGACAAATCGACATGCGACAAAACCATTGTAACCGCTGACGCATTTTAGAAAACAACGGAAAGTGCTCAGAAGTGAGAGAACAGCAGTTTGCAACAAAACTGTCAAATAATGCCGGTGGCGTACAGCAAGCAGCCGGATATACGCGTCGGTCCTGAGGCTCCACGGGACGACGGGGAACATAGTTTGAAATTGATCAAATGTTAACAAAGCAAAATCTGGTCCAGGACTTCAGGTATCGCAACAAAATATGCTTTCAAGTTACAAGCTTGACTGTACAAGTAGAATTCTCATGTTTAACAGTACATTCATTAAGAGCCTTTATAAACGCTTCTTGTACCTCGACAACGGCGGGATATTTTTACTCTAGGAAAGGCCTTCAAGTTTCATGCTGCAAAGCAACAACTCAACGAAACCTGATAGAAACACGTAGTCTGTGTTATAAGATGCAAGAATGAATGGCGATGAAATGAATGATATTTTAAAATAAGTAAAAAAAAAAAATAATCATAATATCCACACGCTTTTGAGGTCTTGAATCTTTGTGGCTGCCAGTAAACGATTTCTCCATCGCGGAGGGTTTTCTCGTTTGTGAACATCCACTTGTTCTCTGAGAAGCGGTCACAGCCGCCGTTAAACTCGAGGTTGAGGACGCATGTCTGCACTGCCGATGTCCAGCGAAGAGGTAAACGCAACCCGACAGAAGTCCAGCAAGCCTCTCCGGTGTTTCGACAGGCTCATATGTAGGGAATCTCCAGCTTTGCCTGATCAGAGCTTGCAGTGAAGCCAGTTCCTGCGAGTCCGAGTCTTCAGGTCTATGTGGGTTTGTCTGGGCTCGAGCAGTCGGACAGTGTGCAGTCGCAGAGCTCTCTGTAGATCCTCTTGCGGACGCGTGGCATGTCCTCTTGAGTGAACAGCAGCGGCTTCAGGAACGCCAGGCACTTGCAGTACTGCGGAATCAAAAACAGGTTCAGTTTGATCATACAAATTGGGGGCAGGCACCACAACCATGCACCAAATCTCATGTTATGTTGAGTCATTTCATAATAGATAAAAATGAATACTTTAACAAAACCCCCTCTTCTTTAAAGGGTTAGTTCACCCAAAAATGAAAATTAAGTCATTAATTACTCACCCCCATGCTGTTCCAACCCCGTAAGACAATAAAGATATTTTTGATTGAATCTGAGAGCTGGATCACACTTCCATAGGCTTCCTAAGGGACTGGCTCTTGACGGCCCATAAAGTCATTAAAGAAAAGGTTTAAATATTCCATGTGCCTACAGCGGCTCAATTATAAGTTTATCAAGCGACGAGACTACTTTTTGTGCGAAAAAAACATAAATAACGACTTTATTCCACTATTCCATTACTTCCTTATGGGTGCATGCGCGAGAACTGAGACGAGGACGTTCTCATTCGTCTACTTCTTGTTACCGGCTGCTCACCGCTTAGGAGTTTTACCGCCACCTACCGTATAAAATGATGATCCATATATAAGGCGCTCCGGATTATAAGGAACACTGTCGTTTTTTGAGAAGATTAAAGGCTTTTAAGTGCACCTTATAGTGAAAATTGAAAAGCGTATGTACAGCGCGCATCTTCCTCTGCTTGTAAACAGAAAGTTTTGCGCTTCCAGCTAGGGCTGCACGATTCTTGCTAAAATGTGAATCACGATTTTTCTCCATGGGAATTGAGATCTCGATTCTCTTACACGATTCTCTTTTTTTTTTCCATCCAAAATGTATTGCACTCAAGTAAAAAAAAAAACAAAAAAAACAAGACAGTCTAATAAAGTGCAGTAACAAAATAAATCTAAATTGTTTAAGCTGGTTCTTTGGGGCTAGCCTATGTAGCTGTCTGTATATTAGTCATGAACTAAAAGTAAGTGTAGGCTATATTTAATATTTTCTGGCTAGTTTACTATAGCTTTTTTATAATCAGACATCACACTTTCACCCAAACTGAATAATTACAAACAAGTTTAAATGGGTAGCCTAAATCTTCTATAAAAATTTGAGATCTTCATATCTAAAACTCTCCAAAATGCTCTATGTGAAACTGCAGTTTTCCAAACTTTCGTGTTGTTTGAAGACCTCTCTCTCTCTCTCTCTCTCTCTCTCTCCGCTCTTTCAAGCGACAAGCGCAGCAGTTTCTATTCTACATCATCACTCGCCGATCAAACTAGGCTTTGGCGGGACTAATATGTGCTAAAGCGGCCTCCAAAAAGCAGACGATCTGACGGTTTTAGAAGATTAACAAACCGAAATTAAAAAACAGACCCGCCCTATTTGAGACGAGCTTTTATTTACCCAAACCTGCAGCCACACAGGCGTGTAAAAGATACAGGCGTCTATGGGACTCGGCTATCATTTTTATATAAGTTTTAAGGTACTTCAGTTCTTGTTAAAACTGACTAGACATTGTGTGAAACTACTTTTTGAGTGAAATCATTAATTTTCACTGCTGCTCACGCGCTGCCCCTGCGCCCGGTGAATACTTTGATTAACATGCAAGCCCAAAAAAACAACTTTAATTTAGACATTCCCTGATGAAACGTCCGCATGATTGATTTGTGTATTATTGTTTTGGTTTTGTGTGAGTGTGACCAATATAACGCGTAAATGCAGCATGATCTGAATGCAGGGAAATACACGGAAGTGAATCGCCATCATTAAGAAAGGAGATCGCATTTATGTTCGAATCGAGATCGTGATTTTTTTTCGATTAATCGTGCAGCCCTACTTCCAGCTATATCAGCACATCATCTTATACGGTAGGTGGCGGTAAAACTCCTAAGCGGTGAGCAGCCGGTAACAAGAAGTAGACGAATGAGAACGTCCTCGTCTCAGTTCTCGCGCATGCGCCCATAAGGAAGTAATGGAATAGTGGAATAAAGTCGTTATTTATGTTTTTTCCGCACAAAAAGTAGTCTCGTCGCTTGATAAACTTATAATTGAGCCGTTGTAGGCACATGGAATATTTAAACCTTTTCTTTAATGACTTTATGGGCCGTCAAGAGCCAGTCCCTTAGGCAGTCTATGGACGAGTGATCCAGCTCTCAGATTCAATCAAAAATATCTTTATTTGTGTTCCGAAGATGAATGAAGGTCTTACGGGGTTGGTACAGCATGGGGGTGAGTAATTCATGACTTAATTTTCATTTTTGGGTGAACTAACCCTTTAAGCCCAATGTATACTCCTGTTAACGTGTATGTATTCAAAAGGAGCACAACAACTCGCACTGGCCCTCCTGGTCTACAGTTACATATCTTTATCATCTTTTAGGCTACAATACAAACGCTAAATTTTCTATCCTCCTCGCCCAATCTCTCGTCCACATAGCAGTCCACTGTTGTTGTAGCTTGCATGCGCATGGGTTGTGGACCCTAACGTACAGTTAAGTGTCCTTGTATACATATATGTTTTTTTATATTTACTTGTATGTAGTGTGTAAAAGAGCTGTTTGTGATTGTAAACGCTCTGCAAAGTTTTAAAGATCACAGTGCAGATAAAGACACTGTCTCCTAAAAGAAAGAAGTGATTCTGAACTGAAACGAGTCGTCAGTAATCCAGTCTCACTTCCTGAACCTGCGTAACAGTGCAACACATTTGCATAACGCCCATCTTTGGTCTTGATTGGCTGCCCGCGAGCGCCACCTCCTGCAAACACTGCAGTTGTAGCTGAGACTGCAACATGCAAACCGACTTTGCATGAACTTCAAGAGGATGAGATTGATACATTAAAAATGTCATTATTTTTTCTGTCCGTATCACTATGCATCAAGTGCTAAGGACAATCCAGAGCTGAAATTCAAATATGGTAACGGACATAAGCAATCAGAGCAGAGTAGACCAATCACAAGAGACTGGGCCATCTGACCAATCAGAGCAGAGTAGACCAATCACAACAGACTGGGTCATCTGACCAATCAGAGCAGAGTAGACCAATCACAACAGACTGGGCCATCTGACCAATCAGAGCAGAGTAGACCAATCACAACAGACTGGGTCATCTGACCAATCAGAGCAGAGTAGACCAATCACAACAGACTGGGTCATCTGGCCAATCAGAGCAGAGTAGACCAATCACAACAGACTGGGTCATCTGACCAATCAGAGCAGAGTAGACCAATCACAACACACTGGGTCATCTGACCAATCAGAGCAGAGTAGACCAATCACAACAGACTGGGTCATCTGACCAATCAGAGCAGAGTAGACCAATCACAACAGACTGGGTCATCTGACCAATCAGAGCAGAGTAGACCAATCACAACAGACTGAGTCATCTGACCAATCAGAACAGAGTAGAGTAGACCAATCACAACAGACTGAGCCATCTGACCGATCAAAACAGAGCAGAGTAAACCAATCATAACAGACTGGGTCATCTGACTAATCAGAGCAGAGTAGACCAATCATAACAGACTGGGTCATCTGACCAATCAGAGCAGATGACCAATCAGAGCAGAGTAGACTCATGAAAAGTGCTATAGAAATAAACTTAAATTGAATATATCATCATCATCATTCCACCTAGCCATACTGTAGCAAACATTTACCTCCAAGACAAAAACCCCACAGTCGTTGTCGTTCTTCTGCTGTGGAATGGTCTGTGGAGAGAACAGACAAAGATAAACGTGGAGAGAAAGCTCTCGCCAGAACATCAGAACACGGTTTAGTAGAGCTCTCGTTACAGACCTTGTTGACGACCATCTTCCAGCCCTTCTGAAAGCCCAGCTGCTTCTTCTCTTTGGCTTCTGCCAGGATGTACTTCAGGATGTTCTGTGGAAAGAGTCGCACGTCAGCTCGATGTGAGGACTCCTATCTAAATCACACTGCAATCGCACTCACGTCCACAGCGAACTTGAAGAGGATGCCCTGCGAGTCGTAGAAGTTGATGTTCTGCTTGGAGACGTCCACGGTGATGAGCGACCAGTGGATCTCCAGATGAAGAGGAATCAGGATCAGAGTCTTAGAAAACAGATCAACCTGAGGACATTAAGACAGAACACATCACACACTCTCCACAACGCTGAGACGTGTCAATGTGGTTTCACTCCCAATGTTCTTCAAAATATCTCGTGTTCCTCAACAGAAAGAAAGCCTTCCGGATTCAGAACGACTCGAGAGTGAGTAAACACAGATGACAGCTTTTCATTTGCATTCTCTTACTGAGCATTTGTTAAAGAAAGAACAATAATTTGACTTGTAGGAAATGTAGAGACTCGATTAACTAAAACAGCTGTGTTCAGATCATTCTATCAACATGTTTTTGCAGGCTGTGACATTTACCTTTTTGGTCCACCGTCTCACGCCTTCATAACCTTTTGCTACAAACTGCCGGTAAAAAAAACTGTTGAAGAAATGAACCTAGAAAAGGACAGATAAACAATGGCCGTTCATGTTGAGGGGAAATACGCAATGCTGATTCATTTGCAACATTAGAGTACAATTTCAGGTTTGGTTTTTATTATTATTATTGTATTATTATTCCATCTATTTTAGTTTTTTGTTGGCATTACTGTAGTCGCTTCCAGTCGGTCATCAGGAAGGCGGAAAAAGTGTCAGAGCAACACACTAAAGGTGTTTTACTCCTGATAAAATGTGTGTTCTTGAATGAATCGTAAATGATTCAATGACTCAATCATAACACACAGAAGAGGTCACGGATACACTCTCACCACGATCTGTCTGAAGTGTGTGAACACACTCCGGCTGTGCCATTTTAAGAAGTATTACATCCATAATCGCCTTTAAATACTGCAATATTATAAAGGGCTGTGAAACGATTAATCGCATCCAAAATAAATTTTGTGTTTACATAATATATGTATGTGAGTGCACTGTGTATAATTATATATATATATATATATATATATATATATATATATATATATATATATAAATACACACAAATGCATATTTAAGAAAAAATATTATTTATATATAAAATATTAATATTTATATGTCATAAATTATATATAAATCTATATACATGTAAATATTATATACAATATATATATATATATATATATACACACACACACACACACACAAGCATGTGTGTGTATTTATATACAAACCCGATTCCAAAAAAGTTGGGACACTGTACAAATTGTGAGTAAAAAAAGAATGGAATAATTTAGAAATCTCATAAACTTATATTTTATTCACAATAGAATATAAATGACATATCAAATGTTGAAAGTGAGACATTTTGAATTGCCATGCCAAATATTGGCTCCTTTTGGATTTCATGAGAGCTACAAATTCCAAAAAAGTTGGGACAGGTAGCAATAAGAGGCCAGAAAAGTTAAATGTACATATAAGGAACAGCTGGAGGACCAATTTGCAACTTATTAGGTCAATTGGCAACATGATTGGGTATAAAAAGAGCCTCTCAGAATGGCAGTGTCTCTCAGAAGTCAAGATGGGCAGAGGATCACCAATTCCCCCAATGCTGAGGCAAAAAATAGTGGAGCAATATCAAAAAGGAGTTTCTCAGAGAAAAATTGCAAAGAGTTGGAAGTTATCATCATCAACAGTGCATAATATCATCCAAAGATTCAGAGAATCTGGAACAATCTCTGTGCGTAAGGGTCAAGGCCGGAAAACCATACTGAATGCCCGTGATCTTCGGGCCCTTAGACGGCGCTGCATCACACACAGGAATGCTACTGTAATGGAAATCGCAACATGGGCTCAAGAATACTTCCAGAAAACATTGTCAGTGAACACAATCCACCGTGCCATTCGCCGTTGCCGGCTAAAACTCTATAGGTCCAAAAAGAAGCCATATCTAAACGGGAAACAGAAGCGCAGGCGTTTTCTCTGGGCCAAGGCTCATTTAAAGTGGACTCTAGCAAAGTGGAAAACTGTTCTGTGGTCAGACGAATCAAAATTTGAAGTTCTTTTTGGAAAACTGGGACGCCATGTCATCCGGACTAAAGAGGACAAGGACAACCCAAGTTGTTATCAGCGCTCAGTTCAGAAGCCTGCATCTCTGATGGTATGGGGTTGCATGAGTGCGTGTGGCATGGGCAGCTTACACATCTGGAAAGGCACCATCAATGCTGAAAGGTATATCCAAGTTCTAGAACAACATATGCTCCCATCCAGACATCGTCTCTTTTAGGGAAGACCTTGTATTTTCCAACAAGACAATGCCAAACCACATACTGCATCAATTACAACATCATGGCTGCGTAGAAGAAGGATCCGGGTACTGAAATGGCCAGCCTGCAGTCCAGATCTTTCACCCATAGAAAACATTTGCAACAAAGAAGACCTAAGACAGTTGAGCAGCTAGAAGCCTTTATTAGACAAGAATGGGACAACATTCCTATTCCTAAACTTGAGCAACTTGTCTCCTCAGTCCCCAGACGTTTGCAGACTGTTATTAAAAGAAGAGGGGATGCCACACAGTGGTAAAAATGGCCTTGTCCCAACTTTTTTGAGATGTGTTGATGCCATGAAATTTAAAATCAACTTATTTTTCCCTTAAAATTATGCATTTTCACAGTTTAAACATTTGATATGTCATCTATGTTGTATTCTAAATATAATATTGAAATTTGAAACTTCCACATCATTGCATTCTGTTTTTATTCACAATTTGTACAGTGTCCCAACTTTTATGGAATTGGGTTTGTATATATATAAAATAATTATCCACAGTGCACTCACATATATTATGTAAACACAAACTTTTATTTTGGATGCGATTAATTGCGATTAATCGTTTGACAGCCCTACTCTGGAGAAATGAATGAATGCTTTTACCTTATGGTTTGTAGCTTCCATGATCAATTCTCCATACATGTTAATCACCTGCAACACACACATAACAAATCCCAGTCCAGGAGATGTGCACATGCATGTTTAGACACGAATGACTACAGATTTAAACTCATAAATACAGATTAACACCAACACCAACCTGATCATTGACCCAGTTTTGGTCATCAAGTGTTGAAAGGTCATCTAAGGTCAACGTGTGCTTGTTGTAGGTCACTTGGAAGAACTGCATAGGAGCACAAGCCAGCCCAGCCCTGTATTTGGACACTTCTGCTCTGATCAGCTTCATCCTGGAGGAACACACACACGTGAGTGCTGGTCAACTACATCCGAACACACTCATGTTCTTTCAAACGTGAAAACTATAGTTTATCTAATATAATCTAACAGTGCATGAGAGGCAGCTGGATTAAACATTAAATCAAACTTTCCCCAAATCATTGACAGCATTCATCTAGCTCAAACAAATAAAAATCGTAATGAATCAAAGTTATGTGAAATTTCTTTGCATTTATTAGAAATATATACTAAAATTTAAAAGATTGATAGCCGCAAGAATTTTGACCAAATTTTTCTTTCTTTTTCTATTAGATGATGATGAGAAGACCAACGCCTGTGAAGAGACGACTCAACACCGGAGATATGTTATGGCACCGTTTTATATATAAACAATATTTATATTTAATATTTATATATAAACAATATGAATGTAAGCCAGAGGAGAACTGGCCCCCGACTGAGCCTGGGTTCTGCCAAGGTTTTTTTCTCCATCCAATCTGATGGAGTTTTGGTTCCTTGCCACTGTCGCCTTGCTTTTGGCTTGCTCAGTTGGGGTTATTTAATATTTAACAATATTATTGATCTGTATTGTACTACTTTCATGTTATCACTGTGAAGCTGCTTTGATACAATCTGTATTGTGAAAAGCGCTATATAAAATAAATGTGACTTGACTTGACTATTAAGCTCTTCAAGGCTGCATTTATTTGATCAAAAATACTGTGAGATATTATTAATCTTAAAGAACTGTTTTCTAGGTAAATATATAGCAAAGTACAATTTATTCCTGTGATCAAAGCTGGATTCCTCCAGTGTCACATGATCCTTCAGAAATCCCACTAATATGGTGATTTGATGATCAAGAAACATTTATGATTATCATCAGTGTTGAAACAGTTGTACTGACTAATTTTTAGTTGTTAGTCAGTTGTAAGTTGTACTGATCTTCACTGTCACTTTTGATTGGTTTATCAATTAAATTCATTCTTGCTGAACATGATTTTTTTAAACTACTGACCCCAAACTTAAAGGGATAGTTCACTTTGAAATTAATTTTTGATATGTTTTAGCTTACCTCAAGGGCATCCAAGATGTAGGTGTCTTTGTTTCCGCAGTATTTTCAATTTTGATATGTTTAGGTCAAACCGTTCTTGTCTGTCAGTCATATAATGGAGGTCTATGGTCACCACCTCAAAGAGCATGCACAGAGAAGTCCAGATTAAACATGATTTAATGACTTGTAAATGTAAGTACACATTGACGGCCTAAGACACGAAACGAGCGGTTTGTGTGAGGAAACGAACAGTATTTATATCGTTTTTACCTCTTGTAATCACAGTCACGTCCAAGTGATTTGAGGTGCTTCAGTCTGCGCAAGCGCCGGAAAGAGCCGGAATTGATCTCTCGCGCGGTTGCGAAACAAAATCAACGTTGTCAGTTGTTATATCGAAATCGCCTTCCATTACAATTTCCTGTATATCTAAATATGTTTAGATTTTCAAAGTTTGTCTAGATCTTGCGCAGAACGAAGCACCCGCACCCTAGAGTACTTGGACGTGACTGTGATTACAAGAGGTAAAAACGATATAAATACTGTTTGTTTTCTCACACAAACCGCTAGTTTCATGTCTTAGGCCATCAATGTGTACTTACATTTACGAGTCATTAAATCATGTTTAATTTGGACTTCTCTGTGCATGCTCTTTGAGGTGGTGACCATAGACCTCCATTATATGACTGACAGACAAGAACGGTTTGACCTAAAGATATCAAAATTGAAAATACGGCAGAAAAAAAAGACACCTACATCTTGGATGCCCTTGAGGTAGATAAAACATATCAAAAATTAATTTCAAAGTGGTGGTACTTTAAGTAGTGGATGAATTTTTGCAAAATAATAAAGTTTCCAAAAAAGGTCTTTCTGAAGGTTATGAAATATAGAGCCATAAAGAGCCAGGAATGGGCAGGGACATGTCCACACGGGGCTCGAACTCGCCTGTCGTTGAGGTCCGACTCAAAGGTCTTGTTCAGGTGATCGAGGACATCGGCGTCAGTCAACGGGGCGAAGCTGGCGTATTTCCCATAGAACTGCTCAAGGAATTCTGGGAGGGAAAGAAAGCACGTTCAGTAAGAGAAACGGCACCAGAACACACGGACGTGTGGGAGTCTCCGAACTCTACCGTGAATGCACTCGATGATGCCCTCGGTGGTGAACTCAGCCGGAGGCGGTGTCGTCCCGTCCACGCCGTCGCTCCGGCTCTCCCCGCCGGGGGGTCTGCAGTAGTGGTGGTCCCAGGACACCTGCTTCACATGAGCGCTCCAGCTCGACGGCTCGGTTTCCATCGCATCATTATGAGCGTCCGTCTCTGCGCCGCTCAGGGAAGAATCCCCGGGTTTCTTCAGCGTTTGAGAAGCGCTCAGCTCCGTGTCGTCGCTGGGATGCGCATGATCACTGTTCTCCGAGCCATTCACCATGAGCGTGCTTTCACTCGCTTGGGAGACGTCTGGCTTTCCCCTGGGAGACGGAGCCTCCTCCATCTCAGACACCGTCCCGGCATCCACCGGGTCTAATGTCACGACCCCTGATGTGCTCACCACCTCTTCCGCCGCCACCTCTTCTTGGCTCACCATGTCCTTCTTCTTTTTGCGTCCGCGTTTCTTGGAGATCTGCTCGTGTCCGGGAGCGTGAGGCTTCCCGTTGGGACCGCAGCAGTCGCACGTCTTGGGCACACGTTTCCTCCTGGAGCGGCCATTTTCAGGCATCTCCCCGGAGCCGGATTCTGCCCGATCGGAGCGGTTCGGTGCCGGGACCCTCATGGCAAACTCTACCCCATTCCTTCCGGGATCCTCTCCACGCTCTTCAGCACGATGCCACCATCGGGAGTTAGGGTCCTGGGACTGGAAGTCAGGGCAGTTTGGATGTACTTTTCTTGAAAGGAAGAAAGAGTAAAACTCTTAGCGATTGGAGATCAATCTTATGAAAAGTGTATAAAATCAGTATTTTTCAAAGCAGAACAACTATCATGTGGCTTACAGTCCCATTAAATGTACAGACCATTCACACGTGTAGCCTACGTCTGTCTATTTGTCATAGAAAACTCATTTCCATGGCTTATTTCTGCAAGGAGTCGGTTTGTATCTTCATACAAACTGAAAGATTCGTTGCTTTGAATCTTCATGGAGCGTATGTTTGTTTTATTGTTTGGAAAAAGTTTTTATTCGCATTTCTGGTTGTCAATTTCGCTGCTCAGTGCAACTGTCTGCACCTTTTCTGATGAAGAACTATCATATATTTATATTATATCGCATGGAGGCTGTATGTCATACACAATGATCACCATATTCATCTAACATTGTATTGATATGGTATTACCACCATGGTACATGTTCAAAACACACGGTTTAGTGATGCTTTTATATGGTAATACTTCGTGAGTTTGCTATACTCAATGATATATGCTAGGGATGATTATTATAATCATGTACCATGGTATTAAAGAATCCCGATGCACATGTCAGCCAAATCAACGGACCGCAGACAATAACACAATCATTTGAGAAAATATGATTTGAATGTTCTGATCGAAACTTAATAAAAATGCGAATGCATGCAAGTCATGAGGAATAACGTCACCATCGAGGTTAAGGCAGAAATAATGTGAGATGATGATAATCAATGATTCAGAGCAGATCATTTATTCATCAGTCCAGCTAAACCAGCAGGTCTATCTCGTGAAGCCCTCGCACACACACATCAGTGTTTTACAGTCTCACCGTGTGTCCGTCTCGAGGATGAAGTGACCAGGACCTGTAAGGCTGTACAAATTAATTCCGATCAATATTCCTCTATCATTGATATCGATGAAAGTGAGGGTTATATCAGGCGTTGTTATGGTCGCAGACCGATCGCGGCGCACGTCGATGACGTCACACGCCGTGTTTTAGCGACATCTCGTGGTAAGGAGACACTGAACGCTTTTCTTTTTCCCCTGTCACATAGAAATTGTGTTATAGTTATGAGAAAAACCACAACTATGAAACGACATCAACATGTCGTAACAGACCTATATTAAAGTGCTATTCTGGGATATTTTAAATCGAATTCTTCAAAAGTGTAACGTTTTTAAATAAATTCATGTTGCTAAAATTGTGCTCACATCAGTGTGATAAAGCAGTGAGCAGTGATTATATTTGTGCTTCCCTTAACCTCACTGTTAAATCAAAAATGACAAATTAAGCTTTATTATAAAGGATTTATCTGTGCAAATCAGTATTATTTTAAATTCATGTTCTGGTAATCTTGAATCAGAATAACTTCCCCTCTTTCTCTTCTCTTCTCTTCTCTTCTCTTCTCTTCTCTTCTCTTCTCTTCTCTTCTCTTCTCTTCTCTTCTCTGATGGCGAGGGCGTTTGGATATTCGGCACAATAGAGAAGATGTTTTATCTACTGTATACATTCCTGTGTTGATGTTCAGCTCACATTCTCATTATGGACACAAATATTTATAAATGAAAAGTGTGGAGATTCTTTTGGCCTAGTTTATTAGTAACGACAACAAACCATAGAAAATACAAAAAAATCTATATTTACAAAAACAGTATGCTATATTGTACAAAGACTTTCAAATGCATTTTATGTCTGAACACATGATTTATGCAGCGGTTTCTATATGCCGATGGACGTATGCAGCAAATCAATCTGATCGAGCCTGATATAACTGATACAGTATAAGGCATTGACATTTCTCACTGTTTGCCATAGAAAGTTGAGTATATTACACTGTTCTGCTTGAGATTATTGAATTACATTCACAATAAATAAAATCAGATGTGCCGTTGTTCAGAAATGGCTCTGTTCAAATGTTTAAATCTGAGACGAATCCCACGCTGAAGTTGTGTTGAAATTTTATATATTACATGTACAAATATTGATGTTAGGCATTATTCATGAAACACAATTAATTTCGGCGCAAACTTGATAAAATGAACTTGAACTTAAATGAAAAAGAAACAATGTTATAAAGTGTCTTCTAAATGAATAAAAAGGTAGCAATGCCAGCTTAGCTAAGAATGACTTCGCAAGCTTTAGACAGAAAATCAAACCGCTTGAGTTTCATGAATGAGGCCTGTTGGGTATAAGCACAATAAACTTCTGTATGAAACACATATTTGTCAATGAAATAATATGACACACAACTATATGCAACTACATACTAACTACATCAGTGCTACACATTTGTACATAACAGAAGCATGATTTGGTTCCTCAACATTCACATGTTTCAGTGCACTGATCTGAACACTGACTCCAGTAAACAGGCTGGGTCTGCTTTGTGTTGTCACGGCTGGAAGCGTCTGCAGGCTCATCACATGGTGTCTGTGTGCTTTTACATCGAGTCATTGAGCAGATGCATGTTTCCAAATGAGGAGCATCACAAGCACTTCATTAACGAGTAGCTTGATTCCTCACATCTTTTTCTCCATCTGTAAAAAACAAAACAAAAAACAGTTTATATTATTAGCCATTGCTGTAGTGAGCTGCTTTTTCAGAGCACAGCGTATGTTTCATAGAATACTGAATGGAATTTGTTTCTGTTTCTCAATAAAAGCTTTTGTATGCTCTATATTGTAAGATATACAGACTAATTCATATGATGATGTTTGCCTGTTTTAGAGCTTCATAATATGGGAGCCAATTTGAAGACATTTTTATGATATTAAATATCAAAATTATGATATAATACGTCATAAACAATGAGAAAGGTGGAAACTGTGACAGAAAATCAAAATCGTAAGGTGAAAGCAATAATGAACATAATGAGAGATTTTATGAGATGAAGTCAAAAATCATAGTCATTTGAATTGTTTTTGAAAACATTTGATCTCATTTAAAAATAGTAATAATATATTTTCCTTGCACCTTGAATACATCCCATGCTTTACACCACTGCGCCCCACGCTTTACTCAACTGCATCCCACGCTTTACTCCACTGCATCCCACACTTTACACTACTGCACGCCACAGTTTACACCACTGCACACCACACTTTACACCACTGCACCCCACGCTTTACACCACTGCACACCACGCTTTACACCACTGCACACCACACTTTACAGCAATGCATCCCATGCTTTACACTCCTGCATCCCACACTTTACACCACTGCACACCACACTTTACACCACTGCATCCCATGCTTTACACCACTCCATCATTATACGCTTATGCGCTTTACTTAACTGCATCCCAAGCTTTAGACCACCCCATCATTATACGCTTATACGCTCTACATCACTGCATCCCACGCTTTACACCACTCCATCATTATATGCTTATACGCTTTACATCACTGCATCCCAAGCTTTAGACCACTGCATCCATCCATCACTGCATCCATCATTATACGCTTTACACCACTGCAATCTCATGCTTTACACCACTGCACCCCATACTTTACACCACTGCAAACCACACTTTACACCACTGCAATCTCATGCTTCACACCACTGCACCCCATGCTTTACACCACTGCACCCCACGCTTGAACCGGAGTCGCACCCGGAACAAGATGACGGCCGCAAAGAAGTTCGACAATTAAGGCTTTCAGGACGTTTCTGAATGGTTGGTTAACAGGGTTCCAGACTGCGACCAAATTGGTTGCATATGCGACCATTTTTTGAGAATGTGCGAGTTAAAATTTTATATGGTCGCATATGTGCGAGTGGACGCACGCGCAACAGAACGCCGTTGTATCAGCTGCTGCAGTCCGTAACTTATGTTCAAAATGAATGAGTAGGCTATATCATGGATCCATTTTCCAAAACGGGTTTTTGACTTATCCTGAATCACTACGGTACGCCTATACGTATAAGTGTTTATAATCAGACTATTTTATCCCGGGTCGACTCTGATGCAGAGTTGCCCAGTGTCTGCGTGACTTGCCATAGACATTAATAGAGAGAAGTAGCTCTGGCTACAGTGTTCTTCCACAAGACACGTTTATTTATTGACGAACTTAGACGTCACGTGCATTGCACACACTGATGGTGGATGGTGAATGCGCCAATTACGAATTCACAAATGAAGTCATATAAAAATGAAAACGTCTCACGAAACAGCGTGCCCCTTCCCATGTCTTTTCAGCGGTTAGATGAGAGTAATCGCTTGACTGAGGAAAAGGAAATTACAGTATTATAAAATGCAAAAGGGAAGGAGTGTGAGATTTTCTGTTTTTTGTTACAACTATAAAGTTTGATAACGAAAAACCTGTATTAGCTTATTATCATACTCTATTCTTTTAAAATGTAATGCATACATTTGAATATTTAATGATTTATAAAAGATAGAAAGACGATGCTGATAGAAAGATGATAATTGATAGATAGATAGATAGATAGATAGATAGATAGATAGATAGATAGATAGATAGATAGATAGATAGATAGATAGATAGATAGATAGATAGATAGATAGATAGATAGATTATTGTTGCAGGGCGGTTACAGCAACTTGACATGATATTTACAGCAACTATAACTTAATATTCATGTATTGTCTGTATGAAAATCATTTGTAATGCATTTTGAGAACATTTGTAGCGTGTACCTCAGAGGAGTGTGCCATTCACATGAGGAGTGTGGAGGGTTTTGGCCACTGACGGTCCACGTCCTGCTTCAGACAGAACCTGCACCTCAACTCTGTACACACTCTCTGGCTGGAGCGAGTCTACAGTGCACGACCGCTGATCCTGATGTACAAAACATTCACAGAGCAATACATGTGAAATAAAGCATAAGATCTTTTGACAGCATTTTCCATTTCAACTTGACTATCAGCATTTCAATAATGAGAAAGTATTTTAACAGTTTTTAAAAATCCAAATGGTCGGTAAAGCATTGTTTTGTGCTCTGCTTAGAATCATACATCTTGTATTTTGTTTTTATTAGTTTTTACCAATCAGCAAAGTGACTCACCGGAGGCAGGATGTGTGTTTGGGAGATCAGTGTGCCATTAGTGCTGCTGCTGGACACTTTGACCCAGGAGAACTGGAATCCAGTGATGGACGTCTGGCCTGCGCTCTCTGGCGACACCTGCCAGCTGAAAACTGCCTGCACAGAGCCATTCACCGGCTGGAACAAAGCTGAGAGCTTCTCAGGACGCTGCAGGGCTTTTTTAAACTGAGGATGGCGCTCTAGGACAAGAGATTGAACTGGAATGAATGATAGAGGACATCAATTCTGTCATAACATTTGCAAAATGAACCTCAGAAAGGCTGACTCACTTACATTTCACAACAAAATCAAAGACAAAAATAAATAATTTACATAAATAAATGAAAGCTATTTTGAGGATAATTTTTATGGAATTTAAAAGGATTCTATTAGCCTTTTATTAGCCAGTGCCACCTAGTGGTCAGGAGATTTTTATTTTTAACTAAGTTATAACCAAAAATCCTGAAATTTTCAATTCAGGCCTGCGATACTTTATGAACACATTGGAGTATCGTTACGAAACTTGGTGTGTGTCTTCGGCATGATGCTTTGATGCTATTAAAAGTTTGGGGGCAGTACCACCTTGTGGTCAAAAATTATAATGAAAATTCAAATACTGCTAATAGCTTTTGATTTATTTCGCCTATTTTATTGAAACTGGTCTTGATCGATTCCCTGAGTCATACAGATAACAATGATACTATTTTTCCATAGTCAATCGTCCACCATTTTGAATTTCCTTGAAAACCTACTTTTTCTCAATCCTCCTAGTTGGTCTGATTTTCACCCAATATTGTAAAAAACGGATTTTGTGTTGATAGACCAAACCGGTATCGTTTAACACATCAACAAATCTATTGGCTAAAACAGATCTACAGCAGCATCTCTGCAAGGCTTTGACATATTGGCACCAAACTGACCACACCCCCTCAATTTGGTCACAGCGCCACCAATTGGTTGAAAGTGACAAGCAATTAAATCATATTACGAGTGATTATATTTAAAGGGTAACTAAACCCCTGGTCAGAGCCTGACTCCACCCACCTGGCAATATTTGAAAAATGCTGAAAAAGTGGGCAGACCCCAGCGGAGATAGAGGGGACGAAATAGATTCTAAAACACTCTATCCTGATCGTTTTCAATACTCACAATTCCAATTCCTGACTCCCTACAGTGGTTTTGACGACACAAGCTGGTTTTTATACTGCCAAGGGCGTAGCTCGCGTGGTGAGCTGAAACCTGCGTACGTCGCGAAGTGCGGAACATCCAAAAAAAAGGAAAGGAAAATTCAACTGCAGTAGCCACCGTTCAACCTGAAGAGGGCAGCACTAAGACGTTTTTACACCATATATTGTAGAAATAGAACACTTTATAAACAAATGTCAAAAAAGTTACTCGAATCAATGACTAGTATTAAAAAAGATCCATTCTTACAGATCATTAACTAAAAAAAGTTGGTTTAGTGTTTAGTTACTCTTTAAGATTTTTCCATCCATTTGAATAAAATCATCTAAAATGTCCAATTACTCATCGTTGCAGTTGGTCTGATGACCCCTTCATTGATGCGTGCAGCTATATTTTAAAATTATTACTGTTGTTAAAATTATTGTTGTACTTAAATCACTCCTGAGATTAGAATTACAAACAAATTCAAAAGAACAAAAATTCAGAAACATTACAGTAATGAGAGTGAGACGTATTTATTTATTCATTTTGAATTGCATTAATGAAAACTAGGCTTAGCAATTGTGAAAATAATTCCAAAATGTAAACCAACCCTAACAGTCTTAAAGGTTGGCTTCATTTCTTTACACAGGGTTTTTTCTTCTTTTGTTTTTAGGGTGAAATGTGAGAGTGACATATTTACGTGAGATTCATCCAACTAATTTGATGTTGTCTCTGATACAGATAACAATAAATCTCTTTGAATGATCTAGCGCTCAATATCATCTTACCATCTCTGGCACAGGCAGCCGTTTTTTTCCGTCTTCCCATCAGCGATAAGCAAAGTGGGGTGGTAACAGAGGTCATGACCTCTGACCTCTGCTCTTGTTCAGTAATGGGCTTCACTGCCACGCGGTACTTACATCCAAAAAACAGGCCAGTAATCACAAAATGTGTTCCCTGAAGAGCACAAAATAGCGGTTATTACTCAGTATAACATTATATTGTCTGTGGAAATGACCTCAGAACGAAATGAAAAAGTAAATGAAAAACACATTTAAGTAACTGCCTCCTGCTCCACTAAAATGAATCAGATAACTGGTTCACCCATCCGTATCATAATGAAATCCCCCTAAGACACGGTCACACATTTCTATTGTGTCCAGTCAGTGCCAGTGATGACAGATCATGTGTGGAAATACAGCGCTCTTGGGCAGTCGTGCCATTATCTGTTACGCTATTCGGCTGCATTAACTTCAGGGAACAAAGAATCAGATGTACGAACAAGGTTCACTCCGAGGTTTGATAGTGACCTCATCTTTTAGTATTAGTACCGGATATGTAAGAGGCATTAGAGCGATTGTTCACCACAAGATCAACATTCTTTCATCTTTTATTCACCTTCGAAAACCTTTTTATCTGTGGAACATAAAAGGCACAATTTGACATTTTTAGGGTATCGAACCACTCGCCATAAAAAACCCACCATGAAGTCAACGTTTTTTCAGCTGTTGAAAGGTAAAAACATTGAAAGCCAATCAGATTAAAGAGCTGAAGCATTTAAAGAGGCAGACCAGTGCGCTGGTGTGGACGTTAATATAGTCATTTTACTTGAAAAATAAGAAGAAAATGACTTGTTGGAACAGAAAGTGGGAGACACTGGATGAGACACACCTGAACTGTGGCTGTTTTCTCGCCTTTCGTCACGTTATTGGCGCAAACCTCAGGATACCATCTCAGAACATACGAACTGGAGTCCTTCTGGCTTTCTGCAAAAGCAAACAAGACCGAATGTTGTAGATTACGTTTTTCCATTTCTGAGGTTCTGCCTCCTCCACATATTTTCAGGGATCATCTCCATTTTGCTCCCGGCTTCCTGTTTCCGTACGCAAGCAACGTGACATCTTTCTCCAAACCCGCATCAGGTCGCCATCCCCCTTCATCTGTTTTTGATTTCACACTCGTACCGGCATTATTAAATCACTCGTCGTGCCTCTCTTTCCAGGAGATAACAGTAAATCAGCACCCTGTATTTATGGGCGCTTGTGGTCTGACTGGAATCTTGCCTTTGAAGGCTGTCGTTGCCAAACGTGTATTTTTGGAGCACAGTTACTAAGCAGATTGTGAATAATCTGTTGGAAAGAGTCTAGAGAGGACATCCCTGCGAGATTGTCTTTTTTATGCAGGACAGATAATATTTTTCTATGATAAATCATCAGTCATGCTGTTGCTTTGGCAGGGACTTGTTTAAGGACACACATGGATTCGATGGACTGTCAACAAACAGATACACTTTGTGTGACCGGCGGCGCGAGGGTTTTTTGTTTGGGAGACGAGAAGTAAACTTTGAATGACCTCAGTCACATTACCTTGGTCTACAGAAAGAAGCTCACTTGCCTTGGATCCGGCTCTTCCAGAAGACCTTGACCTGCAGCTGGTGTTCGTGATAATGAGGGGCGGCCGCTTCCAGCCTCAGGACACCGGGAGAGGTCTGGGATACTGGAAGCTCATTGGAGAACGCTCCTGAAATATGGCCATTCCCATAGGTGGATGCTAGAATGAGACCGGAGATTCATTTACATCTGACAATAGTCTTTATTGTTTGAATGAACACATTACCCTAATTGCTGTTCTTATCCATGCTAGGAGTCCTTGCCCAGAACAGAACCAAACCGCTAATCAAAACTGTATGCTAATTGTCAATCGTATTTGATGAAACATGTTCATGGTATTTCTACAAGGGCAAGGATAAATAATATATATTTGTACCGGTTTAAAAGATTTTTTTTTTGTACTCGAGTGCAGTTGCTTGGAATGAATTGCCAGATCATTTAAAACAATTACAAGAGGAAAACCCTTTAGAAGAGAAGTTAAATGGCATGTTAAGTGTGAGAATTTTTGATTTTCTTCCCACTGGAACTGTTCATCTATTTTATGCATATAGAGGATGACAACGGTGAGGCTTTTTTGTGTATTTTTTTCAAGTTGTATTGAAATGTATATGAATTGCCTCTGGCATGATTGTATGTGTTTAAGATCATTGTTGAATAAATCAAATCAAACAGTGGGCCTGACACAAATCCTCTTAAAGGGATAGTTCACTTTGAAATTAATTTTTGATATGTTTCAGCTCACCTCCACAGTATTTTTAATTTTGATATTTTTAGGTCAAACCGTTCTTGTCTGTCAGTCATATAATGGAGGTCTATGGTCACCACCTCAAAGAGCATGCACAGAGAAGTCCAAATTAAACATGATTTAATGACCCGTAAATGTAAATACACATTGATGGCCTAAAACACGAAACGAGTGGTTTGTGTGAGAAAACGAACAGTATTTATATCGTTTTTACCTCTTGTAACCACTGCCACGTCCAAGTGATCTGAGGCCACGGGCGCTTCGGCTTCTCTCACGTGTACGTCACTCATTGTTTACACAGAGATTTCAGAAGTTTTACCCTTCACTGTGAAGATCTAAACATATTTAGAAGTGAGTGACGTACACGTGAGAGAAACCGAAGCGCCCGTGGCCTCAGATCACTTGGACGTGACTGTGGTTACAAGAGGTAAAAACGATATAAATACTGTTCGTTTTCTCACACAAACCGCTCATTTCGTGTCTTATGTGTACTTAAATTTACGAGTCATTAAATCATGTTTAATCTGGACTCTCTGTGCATGCTCTTTGAGGTGGTGACCATAGACCTCCATTATATGACTGACAGACAAGAACGGTTTGACCTAAAAATATCAAAATTGAAATTACTGTGGAAACAAAGACACCTACATCTTCTTGGATGCCCTTGAGGTAAGATAAAACATACCAAACATTAATTTCAAAGTGAACTATCCCTTTAACTTGCCCTATAGACTTGTGTTAAACTTGTGTAAATTCAATTATTGGTTTTGGTAATCAACAGCATAACATCAAAACTATGCTGAAAACAATACAGCATGATGCTTCAATACACCTTAAAGCAAATGTTAAATGAAACAGCATTGTTGCATTTCATCCCACTTGAAAAAGATAGACTGGAATAGACTGGAACTTCCAACTTGAAAACTCAAAGGCAAACATTTACAACCACAATTCACTGAGGTGCATGATGTCATCTTAACATGGGCATAAACATTCACTTTTAAGCCAATTAAATGCAGAAATGAATCACTTCAGAGGTTGCTTTCATAGCTCAGGAGATGTAATGAAGGTCTTATAATTAAGTTTCATTCAAGTATCAACTTCGTCACAGATGTTTTTTTTAAATAAACATAAAAATGAAAACAATTGTTTCACAGAATACAGCAATAAAATCAATGTGGATGGCATTGCTGAGATTTGATCTAGGATGACTAGGCCTATAATGAGACACTTTTGAGAACATATTGAAATCTAAAACTTCTGATCTGATCTCAAACTGGCAAATACGAGCAGTTTGAGATGCTGAAATATTTTCTGGAACTCTAGAGGACAATATGAGGATCTTTTTCTCAGGAGAAACATCTGAAAAGAAGTTAAGCAAACCCTTACGAAAAAGTAGTATACTTAGTAGTTAATTTTATGAAGGATACTTAAGTAATGTTCAAGTATATATTTAAGTATACATTATGTAGTAAGTATACTAATGTCAATATGTACTAGTAGTAAATTTGTCAGTGTACTATTTTAATACCGCTTGGGACTAAATTGGCCCACTTGTAGCATATAAAAGTATATTTTTAAATAATAAGTGTAACAGTAGTAAACTTTAAGTGCACAACTAATTCATAATTACGTTTCTCATTTGTACTGCAAGTGAACTTAAGCAAAAGGTCTCAGTTTTTAAACGAAAACACAGGATTGTGGACGGGGCCTAAGTCAAGTATACTTAAATGCAATTTGAAGTATTATTCTGAGAAGTACATAAAAAGTAGACTGAAAGTATACTTTCTTATTTTAGTTTAAAAGAAGTATACTAAAAGCACACTTGAATAAACTTCTTTTTCGCAAGGGAAGGTCTCCATAAAATCTCATTGCTGTCTGTAAGAAACATCTGAGACATTAAAGAGACTGCAGTCATCTTACGATATCAAGAAGAAATATCTCTCATCTTTGGGACTTTCTAATAAAATGCATCATTTGGTTGCACTGAATAAGGAGATACAATTTCTTATAATGACAAAAATCAGGCACTGACGTTTTAAATTAGATTTGTTTCTTTTTCTATGACAATTCTTCCTTGTTCATAAACTGTGACTAATGAAATTTTGGGTTCAGCATTAGCCAGTCTGCAATACATTACTGTAAGGGAACACGGAGCTATTTTATAACTGATGTGGTGTTTCAGAGACCTCAAGAGAAATAACTGAGGGCTGATAAAACCAGAGGGGAAAATATTGAAGACATAAAATGAGAAAGAAAGTGGAAAAATGACTGGAAAGCAAAGAAAAAGATATTACATTTTTTTTTAGAAATATGCATTATGTCTTTGAATATTGCAGCATGCCAGTTTGTGCACTAGTAAAACAACTAAACAGTGCCAAACTAAACGTATCACATCTCTTCACTTTGTGTCTGTAATTAGCAGAATCACTGAAAGATTTATCCAGCTAATTAAAGCCAACAGAGGAGGTGAGGAACTTGTGTGGGGTTAACTGCAGTCCTGCTGAGGTTTAGTGGCCTGAGCCCCCTTGTCCTGCAGGACTCAGATAAGCTCTGGATGCTGATACATGTGCTGCTCTGGGAAAGGTTAACCTCATGTACTCATCTGCCAAAATCTAAGTCACCATAAGAGGACAACATTTCTGACAAAACATTCTCCTCGCCAAAGAAGGTTTTCTGTGTTTTTAATGGCTCTGCTGTGCTGCAATTATCAACGGCACCACTGATTCATGGTAAAAGGAGGGGGCCAGAATCAAGCCTTTTAAATAGAGCAAATATTTTATTTCTGACACCCCTTCATTTACACCCTTTTCAATTTCTACAAAATTGGCTCTCAATCTGAAAACTGTTGATTATGAAGTTTGATAATTGGAACTTTCCAAACATTCGTATAAATATGTTTAAAGGCCAGTTCACACCGGGATGAATTTCGCACGCGTTATTCGCCGATGTTTAACGCCTCGTGACTAAACAAGGGCGCCAATGTGAGTGTGCACACCGACACGTAAAACGCCACGCGTAAAAGCGTAATTTTTATGCTGGGCCAAAAACTATCCAAACAATGAGATTGCCGCTTTTTTCCTACAAATAGGAAAAAGAGGCGACAATTTGCAAGAGTTCACCAAAATTGGACAGTTGAAGACTAGAAAAATGTTGCCTGGTCTGATGGGTCTCGATTTCTGTAGAGACATTCAGATGGTAGAGTCAGAATTTGGCGTAAACAGAATGAGAACATGGATCATCATGCCTTGTTACCACTGTGCAGGCTGGTGGTGGTGGTGTAATGGTGTGGGGCAGGGGTCTCAAACTCAACTTAACTGGGGGCCGCTGGAGATAGAGTTTGGGTCAGGCCGGGCCGCATCAAGTATTCCAAAAAAGAAGCACAACTGATCCAATCTTCTCAATCTTTATTATTAACGTTTCTTCTGAACTGTTCCTCTGAATTTGAACATTCCTCTCTGTACATGATTGGTTCTTCATGAGCTGTTCTGACAGTTGAAGTTCATTTTACAAACTTTCTTTGTCTTTTTCTTATACATCACATATTTGTGATAGTCATATTTTCTTTTTATTTTCTTTATACAACACTATTGTAAGACTAGAAAACTGGAACTGGTTGATATAATCAGTGACCAGTGTCTTCTGGAGACAAGAGGACCTTGCTTGAACAACACACACACACACACACACTCTTGCAGAGGAAGCTCACACAAGAATATGTGTTTTTAATGTGAATGTGATAATCTTAAAGGACTGTTTAGAATCATTTCAAAAGTCTCAGGGTGACTGGTAATAATGTCTCATTTCCAAAGAAGTTAAAGAAAAGGTAATAAGGTTTTTAAGAATATAGAAATATCTTGCACACAAAAGGGTGTGTCTTTGAGTTAATCACTTTCTACCTTTTGTCTGAATGCAAACTCTCCTTCCCCAGTAAACATGGTGGGGTTTCAGTCCATTGTAGTTTGGTGATTGGATCAGGTAAATTTGGTGATTAGATCAGGTAAGGTTTGGCTCTATTTAAGGAAAATGCACAAGAGTTCATGGCTGCTTTCTGTATTCAGATCAGCCCGTGATGTTGTGTCTTCAAGGCTCAGCTCATGTAGTATGTTGGGTAAAGTTCCTTTGTCCTAAAACAATTGATGGTTTGCTCTGATTATCTTGTGGAATTGTAATAATACATTTACCTGACATAATAAATTGTTATATTTGGCTATTCTAACAGACTTTGACTTTATTTTCATTAGAGTTAAAAGGAATAGTCAAGCATTAACTACTAAATGATGCACAGATATCATTGATAAACCCTTTTCATTTTATGGAGTCAGATGAAACGAGTTAATACATAAGATTAAATGTATTGCATTTAATTAAAATTCACTTTGCCATGGAAAAGACGGAACACGCTTGAAACCTTC